TCACTTCACAGCAAATAGACGGGGAACAATGGAAACAGTGAGAGACTTCACTTTCTTGGGCTCCAAAATCACTGCAGATGGTGACTTCAGCCATGAAATTAAAAGATTCTTGCTCCTTGGAAGACAAGCTATGCCAAATTAGACAGCATATTAAAAAGCAGAGACGTTACTTTGCCAACAAAGGTCTTTACAGTCAAAGCTATGGTTTTTCTAGTAGTCATGTCTAGATGTGAGAAGAAGGCTGAGTGCTGAAGAATTGATGCCTTTGAACTGTGGTTCTAAAGAAGACTCTTGAGATTCCCTTGGACAGTACAGAGATCAAATCAGTCAATCCTAAGGGAAATCAACCCTTAATATTCCCATGAACAGTGTGAAAAGGCAAAAAGACATGACACTGAAAGACGAACTCCCCAGGTTGGTAGGTGCCCAATATGCTACTGGAGAAGAGCAGAGAAGTAGCTCCAGAAGGAATGAAGAGGCTGAGCCAAAGTGGAAACAATGACTAGCTGTAGACGTGTCTGTGGTGAAAGTAAAGTTCAATGCTGTGAAGAGCAATATTGCATAGGAACCTGGAATGTTAGGTCCATGAATCAAAGTAAATTGGAAGGTCAAACAGAAGATGGCAAGCGTGAACATCAACACTTTAAGAGTGGATTGGAATGGGCGAATTTAATTCAGATGACCATTACATCTGCTACTGCGGGTAAGAATCTCTTAGAAGAAGTGGAGTAACCCTCATAGTCAACAAAAGAGTCTGAAATGCAGTACTTGGGTGCAATCTCAAAAATGACGGAATGAGCTCTGTTCATTTCCAAGGCAAACCATTCAATATCACAGTAATCCAAGTCTATGTCCCAAATACTAGTGCTGAAGAGGCTGAAGTTGAATGACTCTATGAAGACCTACAAGAGCTTCCAGAACTAACATCCCCAAAAGATGTCCTTTTCATCATAGGAGACTGGAATGCAAAAGTAGGAAGTCAAGAAATACCTGGAATAACAGGCAAATTTGGCCTTGGAGTACAAAATGAAGCAGGGCAAAGGCTAACAGTTTTGTCAAGAGAACATACTCATCAGGACAAACACAGGAGAAGACTCTACACATGGACATCACCAGATGGTCAACACCAAAATCAGATTGATTACATTCTTTGAAGCAGAAGATGGAGAAGCTCTATATAGTCAGCAAAAACAAGACCGGGAGCTGACTGTGGCTCAGATTATGAACTCCTATTAGCAAAATTCAGACTTAAATTGAAGAAAGTAGGGAAAACCACTAGGCAATTCAGTTACGTCCTAAATAAAATCCTTTACAATTAAACAGTGGAAGTGAGAAATAGATTCAAGGGATTAGCTCTGATAGACCAAGAACCCGAAGAACTATGGACAGTGATTTGTAACACTATACAGGAGGTGGTGATTAAAGCCATCCCCCAAAAAAAGAAGGGTAAAAAGGCAAAGTGGTTGTTTGAGGAGGCCTTACAAATAGTTGAGAAAAGAAGAGAAGTGAAAGGCAAAGGAGAAAAGGAAAGATATACCCATCTGACCCTGATGCTGGGAAAGATTGAAGGCAGGAGGAGAAGGGGATGACAAAGGATGAGATGGTTGGATGGCATCATGGACATAACGGACATGAGTTTGAGTAAACTTTGGGAGTTGGTGATGGACAGGGAGGTCTGGCGTGTTGCAGTCCATGGGGTCATAAAGAGTCAGACACAACTGAGCAACTGAACTGAACTGAACCCATCTCAATGCAGAGTTCCAAAGAATAGCAAGGAGAGATGTGAAAGATCTTAATGACCCAGATAACCATGATGGTGTAAACACTCACCTAGAGCCAGACATCCTGGAATGTGAAGATGGGCCTTAGGAAGCATCATTACAAACAAAGTTAGTGGAGGTGATGGAATTCCAGCTGAGATATTTCAAATCCTGAAAAATGGTACTGTGAAAGTGCTTCACTCAACATGCCAACAAATTGGGAAAACTCAGCAGTGGCCACAGCACTAGAAAAAGTTTTTCTAGTAGTCATGTGTGGATGTGAGTGCTGGACCATAGAAAGGCTGAGTGCCTAAGAATTGATGCTTTGAACTGTGGTGTTGGAGAAGATTCTTGAGAATCCCTTGGACTGCAAGGAAATCAAACCTTTAATTCTAAAGGAAATCAATCTTGGATACTCATTGGGAGGATGATGTTGACACTGAAGCTCTAATTCTTTGACTATGTGATGAGAAGAACTGACTCACTGGAAAAGACCCTGAGGCTGGGAAAGATTGAAGGAGGGAGGATAAGGGGATGACAGATGATGAGATGGTTAGATGGCATCATGGACTCAATGGAGAAGAGTTTGATCAAGCTCCAGGAGATGGTGAAGGACAGAGCAGCCAGACAGGCTACAGTTCATGGGGTTGCAAAGATTTGGACACTACTGAGCAAATGAGCAACAACAAATTTATTGGAAGACTGATGCTAAGCTGAGTCTCCAATACTGTAGCCACCTGATGTGAAGAGGAGACTAATTGGAAGACTTTGATGTTGGGAAAGAATGAGGACAGGAGGAGAAGGGGGCGACAGAGAATGAGATGGCTGGATGGCATCACCTACTCAATGGATATGAGTTTGAGCAAACTCTGGGAGATAATGAACGGAGATAGTGAAGGAAACCTGGTATACTGCAGTTCACAGAGTCACAAAGAGTCAGACATGACTGAGCATGCATACAAATTTCCTTATAGCAGTTGCCTCAGTACATTACAGAACTTCTCTTGCTCACTGTTTTGACCTCAAATATTAAATATTTTAACACTTGAGGACAGAGTATTTGAGGGCAAGGCAATTTAAAAAAGAGCCTGTGAAAAAAATTAAAAATAGAGCTAGCGTATAACTGGGCAATTCCACTACCAGGCATATACCCTGAGAAAACCATAATTCAAAAAGGTACACATACCCCAAGGTTCACTGCAACCAGGACATGGAAGCAACATAAGTGTTCATCAACAGATGAATAGATAAAGATGTTATACATATTTACAATGGGATATTACTCAGCCATGAAAAAGAATGAAATTGTGTCATTTGTAGTGATGTGGGTGAATCTAGAATCTGTAGAGAAAAGAAAAGCAAATACTGAACATTAAGGCAAATATATGGAATCTAGAAAAATGGTGCTGGTGAACCTCTTTTCAGGGCAGGAATAGGGATGCAGACATAGAGAACGGACTTGTGAACACAGCGGGGTAAGGAGAGGCTGGGACGAACTGAGAGAGTAGCACTGACATATACACACTACCACGTGTAAAACAGCTAGTGGGAGAGCTCGGCTCGGTGCTCTGTGATGATGCAGAGAGGTGGGGTGGGGGTGGGAGGGAGGCTCAAGATGGGGGATATACATGTATAATTATCACTGATTCACTGTGTGAATCAGCAGAAACTAGCACACCACTGTAAAGCAATTACACTCCAACAAAAAAATAAGAAAGAGCCTACGAAAATGGAATTATTTGGCATTTAGCATTTTAAAGGCTTCATGTCTTAAGTCTATTTATATGAATGGAATTCATTTTATTCCTATTTGTAAGTGGTGTTACTTTCTGATTTTCTTAAGTTAAGATTAAATTCTATTTCCACCCCCCTTCTCACTGTAATCATTTGCTGGGTGGGGGGAAGAGATAGTATTGAAATGTGTACTAGCTGATGTTGGAAGCTTTTCTAGTTTTTAAGGATCAACCACTGATAACATGCCAATGGGATGATATATAGCCCAATACTTGAGAGCCTTAGCCTGATTTTCTTTGTCAGTTGGTGCTAGGTAATTCAGGAAGACTTCGGTGACCTTGAACCTAATTAGCTGCTTCTTAGGTAACCTAATAGGAAGGATGAATCCAGTCCTGGCCAAGCCATCTCTTGTCCTAAGATTCCCTTCGTCATCGCTACTCAACCAAAAGCTGAAGAACTGATGCTTTTGAACTTTGGTACTAGATAAGACTGTTGAGAGTCCCTTGGAATGCCAAGAGATCAAATCAGTCAATCCTAAAGGAAGTCAACCCTGAATATTCATTGGAAGGACTGATGCTGAAGCTGAAGCTCCAATGCTTTGGCCACCTGATGGGAAGAGCCAACTCATCGGAAAAGATCCTGATGCTGTGAAAGACTGAGGGCAGGAGCAGAAGTGGGCAACAGACGATGAGATGGTTGGATGGTATCACCAACTCAATGGACATGAGTCTGAGCAAACTCCAGGAGGTAGTGAAGGACAGGGAAACCTGGTGTGATACAGTCCATGGGGTCACAAAGAGTCAGACACAACTGAGAGACTCAACAACAACAACCAAACCACAGAGGCCATTGCAGTTATGCCTCATCGCCCTGAAGCTCAGTGTTGATCATGCAAAGCAAGAAACAGCTCTTAGACAGATTTTTGTTTTACTTTACTCATGAGTTCTCCAAACCTCATGATTGTGAACTTGCACTTCAGCCTTCTGTTCAAGTAGCACTATTTATTCCCCAAGTAGTTTATTTTGAGAAGAATAGCTCCAGTTGCTGAGGAACATGTGCATATTGAGAAATGAATTTGGGGCAAAGCAGCTGGAGAAATTCCTGTGGGTGGAGAAGCAGACGAATGTCTTCTAAGAGTTGCTACTCCATGAAGCAGTGTGTTTAAGGGACAGAAATCTCAGAAAGGAAACCCCAGCTTGCCAAGGGGGAAGGGGACATTGGTTGCAGGGGGAGGGCTGGAGAGAAGGACTGACAAGGGAAGCTAAATAGAACATCACTGCTGGGTGCAAGGGAGTGGGAAGAAGGGTCAAGGGAAGGCACGAGGATCTTTACTGTCTGTCAGGAATACAAAGGGGTTTAAAACACTCAGTTGGTGATGATATTGTGAATTTTTTCATCTTTCCTTTTGGGGATCCATCCCTAAGACAAGGAGACTCAAACTGAGTTTAACTCTCAGTAGATTCACATCAGAAAAACACATTCCTCACCCGTCATGCTTCCCCTTACCTATGTAAGTCACATCCACATAAAGTGGATCCGAGGAACTGACTCCCATCTGGTTGATGGCGTTTACTGTGATGATGTATATCTTCCATATGGAGGTGTGCTTCTTGCTAAAGTAGCAGGTGTTGGGGCCCCCAGTTTTGTAGTCTGGACATTCATGGATGAGTGTCTCTCTGCAACAAGTATATTAGGAGTCAGTAAGAAAGTGGTATGGAGCTTCCTCGCTGGCTCAGTGGTAAAGAATCTGCCTGCAATGTAGGAGACATGGGTTCGATCCCTGGGTTGGGAAGATCCCCTGGAGAAGGAAATGGCAACCCACTCCAGTATTCTTGCCTGGAGAATCCTATGGACAGAGGAGCCTGGTGGGTTATAGTCTATGGAGTCGCAAGAGTTGGACATGACTTAGCACCTAAACCACCACCACCAAGAAGGTGGTATAAAGAGCCTAGTTTTTTAAAGTGGTATAAAGAACGTCAATATCACTGAATTTGGAGGGACAAGCAAAAAACAGAGCTGGAGAAGGGCTTCTCAAGCTCCTCGAGCCTGTCCATGTCCGCGAAGGGTGACTCAGGGAAGAAGTGCTGGAGAAGGGGTGGAGGAGTCACGTCAGAGCCCCAGTGACTCCGTTTCTCACCAATCCTTCCTGTCTACAGGTTGGTGTGGACTTCATGCTATACACCCCCTGCCAATGAACACTTGAGCTTTCCATGGCCAAGGCACGGCCACCCTCAGGAACCTACCGTTGGGTCGTCTCAGGACTTTCTTCTGCATCATACAAACCAGGGTGGGGCAGAGGCGGGCATGCTCAAGGCTGCAGCTACTGCACAAATGTGCTGAATTACATGTCACTAAAAAAGCTGAAAGGGGATACAAACTGCAGTATATTTCCAATTACACTCAGGCGGCCACAGAGGAGAGTGACTCTGAAAGGAGGTACTTTAGGTCCCAGAGGCTCCTCAGGCTGCTCACATTTAGACCCGGGGGCTCCACGCAAGGCTCGTCACACAGGTGAGCAGGCTTGTTTCACCGTGATGCCACTTCGAGCTCCTGAGGGCTGTGTGCCTGACACCCCTTTGGGTCTTACAGGGGATATCAACTTTGTGTACCACTAAGCGCAGTCACTGGGAGGCAGGCCAGCTCTCCCTCCAGTAAATGGTTTCTTCACTGGGAAGGATATACAGCCATCCCTGGATTTCCAGGAGGGGCTCACTGTAACTGTGATGAACTCCATGCCCAGAGATGACCCTGTTGAGTTTGCAATTTTTTCGCTCCCAATACCCGCTCCGGGAGATCATGGGACCATGGATTTCCTAAGAAAAAACCTCATCTTCCTTTCCTTGTAGGGCTGGTTATTTTCTTGCACGTGAAACAAGTTCAAACGGCTAATGTACCACAGTCGTCAAGGATTACATAATAATACTCTTAGGTTGCAAAAGCAATGTTTATAAAAAAAACAACGACAAATGGCACAAGGTTGATAGCTAAGCATCTAAGGAAACACACGTGACTTTGGGGTACAACTCGAGCTCACGACAGGCAATGGTACCACGGATGGATTGGTGTCACCTCACTGGTGGTGGAGTTTCTGGACACGAGGAGGAGCCGGGCTGGGACGTTAGAAGGAGGATGTGGATGTGGCCGTTAGAGTCCCTGCCCCCAGTTGTGGGAGCTTATCAGTGTCCATTCAGGGAAGTACGGCAATTAACCCAGGGTCAGTGGTCCTATGGCCTGGAGGGTGAGGACACCCATGTGGGGCTTGCTAGGAGAGAAGAAAACGTTTACCCTTCCTTGTGGTAAGTCAGCGTGTAATTGGTAGGAAGTCCTCCATCTGCCCCCGGCTCCCACCAGCAGGTGAACGTTTCCTTTCCAGGAGAACGACATTTAATGATCTTGGGTTTTCCAGGAGGTGACTGTCCTAGAAAATGTCAGAAAGCACCAGGGTCAATATCAAGGTCCATTCAACTCTGTGACCATTCTGTTGGTGATAGAAGCAGGTAGATGGGGCCAGGCCAGTGATGAGGTCTCAGGGAGAATAGGTCTAGGGGTGGGAGGTGGGACTCAGAAGCCAGCATCCTGCAACTTTCTTCTGCGGGCTGCCCTGAAGGTGGCAGGATTCAGAGAGAGAGAGAGCTTTGTGGTGGGGGGTGTGTGTGTGTGTGAATGTGTGCGTGTACTATGAGATGGAGACACCAGCAACCTAGGATCAGCGACTAACTGTAGCAGTTCACCAATGGTGAGCAGCAAGGGTGCAAGGGGTACAAATGGATTGAGCCGGATCTGGCCCTTCCAGAATCCCACGGTGTCTATGGAGTGGATATGTGCCCACAGTACCAGAGTGATCATTTAAAAAGAATTCTCCTTCAGACACAAGCATCCTGTGATCATTTGCTGATCCGATGCTCTCTAGACCTCTCCCCTCGGCTCAATGACCCCCATCCTTCTGCCACTCTCACATAGTGAACCCAATTCTCTGCTCTTTTTCTCTTTCACTGTGTCACCCAGGCTCCCCCTCTGGCTGCTTCTCCCCCCATCTTCTCCATCCCTTCCTTTCCTGCTTCACTCTTCCTTGATTCCGTTCAGCTTTGACCTATGATTCAGTCTCACAGTGTGGCTCCCATCCTCCCCATCTCCACTTCTGAAGCTGGGTTTTCAGTCCCCTTTTTCTATGTATTTTCCCCTCCCTCCCTGGGTCTTTATGTGGTGAAATGGCAAAAGGTTCTTTTCTAATTCTTGGCTCTTTTTGGGGGTAGGAGGCATGGGAACTCCTAGAGGTGGCTGAGTGGGTAGCTGTTCTCCCAGTTAGGAGCTACCATCATTAGCTCATTCCAGCTGGAAGCTAGCGGGGCTGAAAGAGGTGATGTGGAAAACCCAGTGTAGATGGAGTTATCGAGTTGCCTAGCCCCCGAAGCTTGTGGTGAGCTGGCACCCTCTTCTGTTCCTTATCTGACAGGTCCAGGGAGGGAAAGAGTCCCTCTATCCCCAGCCACGTAACCCCAGGTGGCGTTTCATTCAGGAAATCGGGAGCAGAGAGAGGTGCTTTCAGGAGGCGATCCTTGAACCTCGGGGGCTTGTGTGTTTTCTGCCACCCTTGTCCTTCATCCCTCAGGCTGCTCCTGAGCTAGAACTGCTAGCAAAGCAGCATCAGGGAGAACGAGTTCAGAGGAGGACATGGGTGGGAAGGAGGGCATCAGGCAAAGCCGGCCAGAAAGAAGAACTGATGGAATGGGATGATGGGAGACAAGGCTGGGCCGAGGTCCCCAGGCTGAGTCAGCTGGAGCCCAGCCAGCTCCTAGATTCCTCTGAAAACCGTCCACGCCAGCCAGTCTGGGCTCAGCTCTGCCCATTTTGGAACGTTGCTCGACCTCTAGGGAATATTTCTTGAGGACAATTTCACAGGGTGAAGTGATTTTTTGTTTGTTTTTTCTTGTGGCTAGGGAGGAGTGTGTGAGGTGGAAGGAAAAGCTTATATTTTAAAAACACACAAGTTTACAGCTCAATAATGAGCATATTTAGAAGCCAATTAAGGCAACTGTTGATTATTTGGGTCTTATTTGAATTCTTAAAGTCTCCATATGGATTGTACCAATCTCCACGTTCCTTTTTCTCTTCCTGAAAGCTTCTCTCTCTCACATTTCACTGGTTATTAACAGTACCTTGAGAAAACTCAAGAGAGGAGGGTAAAGCTGTGAAACTGTGATTGGTCAAATGTTTCTTTCACCCACTTTAGAAGAGATGGTTACAATGAATGGACGGTCTCACTTTCCCTGTAAAATGCGTACAAACACCACAGGGACAACCACAGAGGTACCCCCCACCCCCAACACACACGCTCAAACAGAAGAGCTCATATCAGAAACACACCCACAGATCACAGAGGAACTATACACACAGCTGCATACCTACAGAAGTAGGTACTGGTCCACACATAGGTACATATGCAGAAATACGCACCCACAAATGGGTATAGGTACACACAGAGAAGCATTTTCAATCAGGTATGGACAGAGAAGCTAATAGATACAGAGATATACACAAGTATACACACTTACAAATAGACTGGGGTGGATACACTGAAATGTACACACACAGGCTCACATGTGCTAGTCTAGTTGTGAATTTCATTTCCCGCATAACAGAGTTGGGTGTTCCTGTTTTCCACCAGGTAACAGCAATTCCCTTAGATCTCTTAACAGGTTTTCAAAGATTTTTCTCACACAACCTTTCATCTGAGGTGGAGGAAACATCATTATCTTCACGTTGAAAGTGTCTAAATTCAGAGAACTTATTTAACTGGCTTAAGATTGCACAGCCAGTAAGGGACAGAACCTGGACTGAAATTCTGATATGTCCCTGGCAGAGTTGTTTCTCTGCACTCCCAGAATGAGGATGGAAGTCAGAGCATGGTGACTGGATGTGGCATTAACTGCATCCAGTCTTCTGCATTAATTTTTGCCTTCATTTTAATCCCCATAATATTGTAAATAATTGAAGAGAAGCAAATGGCATGGACATTTTCATTTCCTGTAACTGTGCTGCAAAAGGACTGTGATGGATTCTCCCCTCCTCTGTATAAATACCCCAGGAAGTGAAAGAGAACAGGACAGTCTCTTACTTACCATTCAGAAGGCTGGCGTTGAGAAAAAGTAGCAAAATGTAAACCACTCTAGATGCCGCATTTTCCTTCATGTTGGCTCCTTCCTCTTTCCACAGGAAATATATCAGAGGCTCACTGAAAGAGAAGGCATAGGCAACTTTTTGAAACGGCAAAAGTCTGGTGAGGCACATGCACCCCTTTATTCTGAGTGTTTGCAACTGATTCTTGCTCCTTGCTGAATATGAATAACAAAACAGGAGGAAAGGAATGTAGGAAAATGTAACAAGGATAGCTTGGCTCAGAAGCATCGCTGTGCACACGCTGGGAAAAATTCCACCACCAGAGGTCATCCGAAGACAACGTTCAAGGTCAGCCGAGCGCAAACGGTTCCTTTGCACACACCCTAAGGAAAAATTGTTCTCTTTGCACCCCACTGTGTTAGTTGCTCAGTCATATCTGACTCTTTGAAACCCCATGGACTGTAGCTTGCCAGGCTTCTCTGTTCATGAGATTTCCCAGGCAAGAATACTGGAGTGGGTAGCCATTCCCTTCTCCAGGGGATCTTCCTGACCCAGGGCTGGAACCTGGTCTCCTGCACTGCAGGAGGATTCTTTACTGTCTGAGGCACCTGGGAAGCCACCCAATAAGAGATCACCTGTTTTATATGACACACATTGTATGCCCTACAATAGAATTGTTCTGGGAGGGCTTTGATCTACTAGCCAAAAATAAGGCAGGCTGAAAAGTTGATGCTTTCAGTTTAACTCCCACCTGGCCCCTTGGATGCCACCAGGAAAGAGGGGGAAGGCTCTCCTGAAGGTTCTGCTTTGGAACACTCTGGAAGTGTCCTGGGTCATGGGCAATGCTGTGAGCCATGCAGTGAACTCTAGTGGACTTCCACGTGATGACTCTTACCCCTTTGGAAAAGCCCCATAAACAAGAAATGACAAATCCCAGTAATAATTCAAAGTCCCTTGCATTTGAAGAATTAAGCAAATTTTGAACCTGCAGGGGTTGAGAGTTTTGAGAAATTTTTTATTAATATTATTATTTTTACCCTTTGAACAATTTTCAAAGCCTCTAAATGTCCTTCTAAGAAGAAAGGATTTTGAAAGCCATTTGGAAAAGACTCATTAGCCTTTTTGGACTCCAAACAACTCTAGGAAAACAATAGATTTGATGAAGTAAGTATAAATTCTTGGAAGCCCATGACTTACATTTTCCCTTTAAATTTTACATTTTTTTTTTTAATTGGGGGAAGGACATGAAGGAGCAAGGCTGCCCATCCAGGGCTGTTGGAAAATACTGCATGCTGTTTGATGAGCCTTGAAAAGACTAGGCTTCACCAACTCCTCCTGGTCAGAGGGTGGATCTCCATCTGCCAGCCAGACACCACCTAACTAACAACTTCCTGAAGTTCTTCCCACCTGCTATCATGCCCCTTGAGACATACTGGGAAATAGAATTCTCAGTGACAACACAGGTTCGGGGTTTTACGTTGGGGATTGGAACTGCAAAATGGAACAGGAGAAAGAAAACAGCAGAAAGGGTAGAAGTTGAGAAATGATGAAGCAGAGAGACAGGAGAGTGGCCATGCCTTCCCCCAAGGATCTTAAACACTGTTGTTCTCCCTAATCCAGCTTCACTGGGTCCACTGAAACCTGAGAAGGTTCTTTTCCCTGCACATCTGGTGATCTCAGCTTGGCCTGGGGATGGGTGTGCTACCCACTGACTGAAAAAGTTTTAAAATAAACTTGAAACTCTCCTAAATAACATTTTCCAATAAAAGTGCTTTCAGGAAGCATTTTATTCCTAAAATATCCTGGAATCTGGTGAGTAGCCATGTGCACTTTCTGCTTCCTTGAAACCCCCATGTCTGGGAACTGGACACTCTCATTGTGGTCCCATTACTGTGTTTCAATAATGATTCCCATTTTACCCTGAATCTTACTCTCCAACAGGGCGAACGCACTGCTGGGATAGGTAAACCTTCAGAGAGAAAGATAATCCCAACTGCCCACTTCTAAGGGTGCTATGCTGAAAGTTAACCTGATCACCCACTGTGGTCTCTTTCTGCACTAGGCACATCTCCCATTGTGCATGGACCATTTTTTAATGACTAGTGAACACTAGGCTGGGGATAAATTTTCTCTCCTACTAAAAACAGAGTTACCATATGATTCAGCAATCTCAGTCCTTGGCATTTATCTAAGATACATATACCTGAATGTCACTGTAACACTATATTCAATTGACAATACGTCTAAGCAATCTAAGTGTCCATGGACAGATGAATAGATAAAGAAGATCTGGTATATATACACAATGGAATATTACTCAGCCATAAAAATGACTGAAATAATGCCATTTGCAACAACATGGATGGACCTGGAGATTATCATACTAAGTGAAATAAGTCAGAGGAAGAAAGACAAATAGCATAATCATATTTACATTTGGAATTTACAAATTTACAAATGTGTAAATCCACATTTACCTGTGGAATCTAAAAAATGATACAAATGAACATATTTATGGAACAGAAATAGGCTCACAGACATAGAAAACAAACTTGCGATTACTGAAGGGGAAAGTGAGTGGGCAAGGGATAAATTAGAAGTTTGGGATAAACAGATATACACTCCTATATATAAAATAAACAACAAGGTCCTACTAGACAGTACAGGGAACTATATTCAATATCTTACAATAACCTATAATGGAAGAGAACCTCCCCCAAAATATTTCAATGTTTGGATCAGATATTATATTCAGATCTAAAATCTGAATCACTTTGCTGGTTAGTTTCACCAGAAACTAACACATTTGTAAACCAACTATACTTCAGTGAAAAAGTGTAAGTAACTTAAATAAAACTTTTTTGTTTGAGTTCACTTCCCCATTGCAAGCAGGACCTTGATCAAGATTATTCATTCCAACTTGGGCTGGAACATCCAAAGAGTGTCCACAGACTGCTTGCAGTGATGATTAGAGTGGTAAATGGCTCCAAATGTTGGCGGTCCAACTAGGAAAAAGTGAGCCTTACACCTCCACCAGAGGACAATGATTTTGGCTTCATTCCTCAATAGCTCTCTGAGTGTGACTGAGGTTTAAAAATTCAAGAATGAAAACTGAAAAGCAGGTCTGTAGCAAGTCAGCACCCTCATGCCTTGCCCATGACAAACTGCCTTGGCCTCCTTGCTTCCAAATCCTCAAAGAGTCTACTGTCTTTATGTTCCACCCGTTATCTTACTCGAGTCTCCCTTGTCACAGCGCTATGTCCCACTGTGGTAGAACCCCACCCTCCCCGTTCTTCCTCATTCTGTGCATCAATGCTGAGCCTGGAAAGCTTCCCTTCTTCACCTTTCCCATTAAGCCAAGTCTCATCTACATACAGCAAAACTTGAGAAAGCAGTCTGGCAGTTTTTTCTTCCTTAATGTTTAATTTATTTGGGTGCACGGGCTGAGTTGCCCTGCAGCACAAGGGATCTTAATTCCCTAGCCAGGGATGGAACCTTTGTCCTCTGCACTAGAAGGCAGATTCTTAACCACTGGACCAACTGGGAAGTCCCCAGTCTGGCAATTTTTGCCCTGGCCACTTGTTCTTCTGAGAAACAAGACCCACTCTCCCTGACGCAAAATCAGAGCCACAGTCCTATAGCCTGGGCAGATTCCACTCTCCACAGCAGGGAGAGCATGTCATAGGAGAGAAGGCTGGGGGAAGAGGGTCTCCTGAGAGTTAAAAATAACAGACCTGAGCTTTCACTGTCTACTCTAGGTAGACTCGATCTGCACATTCTAGCTTATCCAGCCCCTGAACCAACCCAAATGCCAGAAATCTCAGTGCTATACTTTTGTGGGACTTGCTCCTGATATCAGGTGGTCCTGAAGCAAACACAGTTCTCACCTTGTCTTGCCTCATTTGTCACTGTTGCTCTGATGTTCTACTCGGATTTTTGGCTGAGCTCCCCTGACTCTAGAAATGGGCCTAGCATGGAGGGCAGGGGTTCGGAGGACCGACCTAGCTCTTGCAAGCCTAATTACCATGGACAAGCAGGGCCCCATCCAAGATCTGAATTTCTTGAAGGACAGTCACAAATGTGAAATGCACAAATCATAAGTATTCTTTTTTTAAAAAAATATATTTATTTTAATCGGAGGCTAATTACTTTACAATATTGTAGTGGTTTTGCCATACATTGACATGAATCCGCCACAGGTGTACATGTGTTCCCCATCCTGAACCTCCCTCCCACCTCCCTCCCCATCCCATTCCTCTGGGTCATCCCAGTGGACCAGCCCCGAGCACCCTGTCTCATGCATCAAACCTGGACTGGCGATTCGTTTCACATATGATAATATACATGTTTCAATGCCATTCTCCCAAATCATCCCACCCTTGCCCTCTCCCACAGAGTCCAAAATACAATTCTATACATCTGTGTCTTTTTTGCTGTCTTGCATGCAGGGTTATCATTACCATCATAAGTATTCTGCTCAATGAATTATCACAAGATGGACATGTCTATATTACAGCCAGGTCAAGAAACAGAACACTAATAGCATCCTAGAAATTCCCCCGCCTCCTCCCAGTCTCCCAGTCTCTACCCAACCCTTTCTAAGAGGAACCAGTTTTCTGACTTCTAACACTGAAGATGAGTTCTGCTTACTTTTGGACTTTAGGGAAACAGAATCATACAATATGCATATTTTGACTGTGTGTGTCTGGCATCTTTCATTTCACATTATTGTATGATTCATCCTTGTTGTTACATGGAGTTTTACAAAATTCATTTTTAGTTCACGTCATTCATCTTCATATTACACTGAAAGAAAGACCATAATTTATTTCCTCATTCTACTCTTGATGGACATTTGAGGTTTCCAGTTTTTGATAAACTTTGAATTTTGCTAAGACTTATCAAGACTCTGATGGCAGACGAGACCCACATACCTTATACCTGCTTTGTGCTCCTTCCCAGCTTTCTGTTCTCTACCATTAATGGTTAGGATACTGCCTGCCATACATCTTGATTATAAATACAAATTAAGTTTCAAATGCCTGTCTTGTCCTAAAAACACAAACCATCTCATTTCTTGCAACAAATTTTTAAATACATCCATTCATGGTCTGA